TTTTTTAAATTTTTTTATTTAATTTTTCCCAATAATTATAGGTTTCAGCGACATATCTTGATGGTTATCGTGCAATAGCAGTTTGTCCTGGGGTTGGTCCTCGATCTGATGAGAAGGCACTGAAGACAGTACAAGCTATTTTTAAAAGGTGAATGAGAGCTAGGGGGAGAGAAGAGTGAGAGAAAATACAAAATAAAAAGAGAGGGAGAGAGAGAGGGAGGGGGGAGGAAGGGAGAGAGAGAGAGAGTGACAAAGAGATGATCCCGATCTTTACAGGTGTTCAAGGCTATTAAAGGAAAGAGGGTATAAAGACTATACAAAGACTCATGTCCATGTGTGTCCCAAAAGTATTTTGTCTTCATGTGTCAATATCCTTATTTTATCTCTTTAGAGTTTTAATCTTACTTTTTATGATCCGAAATCCATTCACTACTAATTTCTCTTTCCCTCTATTTCAGATAATGGGTGGAGGAAAGTCTTTATCAGAAGCTGTCTCTTGGTTTGGAGTGGAGCATCCTGTGAGAGAAGCTGTTGAGATATTTAGTACCGAAATAGCACCAGCTGGCACTGGAATGGGTAAGGAGGAGCCACCCCATACCTTCACAATATCATCTACTAATAGTTTCTAGTGAACACTTAGAAGTTACAGAATATGTACATGTACATATACATGTAGACAGGGACATAGCTGAGAAGGAAATGATGAGAGGGCCCAGAGATAAGTGGCATGGGAAGTGTGCTGAAAATTTGGACACATCCCTTTTTGGCGCTCGTATAGTGCACTAAAATAGCATCTCTGCGTATTTTAAAGCATCAAATTCTTCCATTTTTAACAATGATTAATATAAAGCGAGTGTTTTGTTTTTGCCTACTACTCATTTCTTGTACATTTACTGCTGTGCAATGTATTGTACATGATTACAAGGTGGTTAATTATTATTACAAGATGGTTAATTATTATTACTAGGTGGTAGGTAATAAAACAAACAATGAATGACATTATCAATAAAAATTGATGGGGGGGCCAGGCCCCCCTGTAGGCCCCCCTCAGACACGCCCTTGCATGTAGGGCAGTTACTTCCCTCCCCCCTAGAAATCATGCATATACTAATAATTTTGCTCAATTTAGCAGATTATTATTATTATCATTATAATATTATTACTATTACTATTATGTATGGTTACTATTAATTTATAATTTTTTTTTTATTTTTAGCTCCTGGCCTCACTGCTATAGTGGGAGGAAGACCAAAAGTGTAAGGA